AATAAGACATTACAGATTCTTTATAGTCTAAGGTATGAACTTGATGTAGTTTCATGATTAAATGATTTTTTTTTAGATCATGACCAAAATGCAGTAGTTCCAGATAGTTCAACATGTTAAGAACAAGGATTGTGCTACTGACTTGATTTTTTTACTCATTTATTAAAGTCCACCTTTTAAATAAAGGAATTAAGTTAGCTAATTTCCCTTTTTAATAAGATTGCCAGTCTGCCAGATCTGGAAAATAGTATTCAATGAAAATTAACCTTAATTTCGACAAGATATTGGCAAAGGCTCTTAGACTGTGTGTGCTGGAGAAATGTGAGCTGAGCCACCAGTTAGGTAGATGAATAGGTAGTGTCTAGACAGTGTCTAAAGAACAACTAATGGAGAACAACCAACTTGGAGAAAGGCTTCTGATAGTATTTCAGAAGGTTCTATTCGTGCTTCTTGGTTTTAATGACTTAGATGAAGAGGCAGAAGACATGAAACTAATTTGGCTTTTATAAACTTTGAAGAAAAGATCACACATGTAAGACTGAATTAAGTCCATGGATTGTTGAGGCATAGAAAATGAAATGCATTTTAAACAAAATGGATAGATAGAGCAAGAGCCCATATAGTATATCTCTGCTCAGATTCTTTTGATCCCTTGGTAGATGGATCCTGCCGTTGCAAGTTACATTGTTTGCGTAAGATGGCGTGCTGCTGTATTTAAAAGCTAAGTAATATTGTTTATCACATCCCTTTTGCTATTTAGGGCTTATATCATCAACCAAGAATTTATACAAATGGGAAACATGTACAGACCTCCATACCCCCTCCTGATTCTAGAACAAAACATGACATCGGTTAAGTAAGTCCACGCAGTGATAAGCCAGGAAAGAGCAGTCAGTGCACCTGGAGAGTACACCTTTGCCAAACTGCCCCTAGGACCACCTCAAACAGACAGAAGTGCAGAAGTGCCAGAGTTACTGTTCTCGGGGGTAAGGTCTTGCTGGAACTAAGAAACTTAACTATGTCCTGCATCACCATCCTTTTACAACTGAAGCTTAATTCATTATTCTTGAAGGACTTACATAAATAAGCTATGTCCCTAATGTTTTCCTTTAAGTGATTGTTTACAGATACCGAGACTTCTCCTGATTGTTGAGCCAAGCTCAGCATCAATAAAAAGACATTCCTTGGTGGCTCAGCCTGTAATCCCGCGCCTTTGGGAGGCTGAGGTGAGAGGATTGCCTGAGCCCGCGGGTTCGAGACCCGCCTGGGCAGCGAGACCTCATCTCTACAATAAATCAAAAAATCAGCGAGGCGTGGTAGGTAGCGCATGCCTGTAATTCCAGCTACTCGAAAGGCTGAGGCAGAAGGATCACCCGAGCCCAGCAGGTCGAGGCTGCGGTGGCCGGGAGCGGCCACTGCACTCCTTATGCAGGAGAAGAGGGAGTTTTAGCATTCAGGTATTTCTGGTAGTCTCTCTGTCTCCGGCTAGCTGTCATCCCAGAGAGCTCATGTCCCCCATGAGCCTCTTGGATTTACAGAAGACGTGAAACTGGGAATGATTTTTGAAATTCCACTGACAAAATAAGACCTTTTTAAAATATCATATAGGTTCAAAGGTACACAAATGGGAAACATGTACAGACCTCCATACCCTCTCCTGATTCTAGAACAAAGCATAGAGTTGGTTAAGTAAGTCCACGCAGTGATAAGCCAGGAAAGAGTCCTAGGGGCAGTTTGGCAAAGGTATAACTATGAAGTCCTACCTTCAGCCCCCAAATAAGCATTTAAACAGAAAATAGAAAAGATGTGGCTTATATAAAAGCACATAGGGCTTTTAAAACAACTTTTTAAAAAGTAACTGAAAACTTAATAAAAGCCAGAAGAATGAGCCATCTATTAAAAAGAAAAAAGATTGCATTTAAGTGTCCTTATCAAAGGTGATGATAATTGCTTTCTATATATCTATACAGGTAAGGTAATAGATATGTCATTTAGGCTCATTTGGGGCATCTCAAATAAAGCGATATTAGCCAGCAATAGAATAGGGTAACTAGAATGTTTAAGAGATCCAAAGCCGTGTTTGAAAATGATAAAAATAATAATCACAACTTCTGTGTATGGAAGCCTTTTCAGATGCTATACTTCAGGGTAGACACTGTATCCAAAATGGCTATGGAGTTGAACATCTCTTATCTTAAAATGTCAAGGAGAAGCTACCTCTCTGACTCTTTAAAGTAAGTGATGACAGGGACATTTGTATATAATTTTCAGATCATGACTAAGATGTTAATAGTGATAATGATAGCTGTTCAGCAATATTTGAGAAATGAATTGTCAAGTGGCAGGAAGAAAAGATTATGTCGCTCCAGAGGGGAAACTAGATCAAATGGGTTAAGGTTACAGGGAGACAAATTAAAGCTCAAATATAAAAAGAAATTTATATCACATACTGTTGCTCAGAAATGGTACAGGAAGCCTTTTAAGGGGACCCATTTACTGTAAAGTGGTCGTTATGTACCCAGTGCAGAAGTCAACACTTCACATCTGTTACTAGCCAGTAAAGTTGATATTGCTATTCTCATTTTATACATGAGGAAATTGAGATGCTAAGAAAAAAAAAATTTGTTGAAGTTCGCACAACTAGGGAGTGACAGAATTCAAGGTTACTGACTTTAAATAAGCCCATTTATTTCACAAGTTATAATAGTGTTTCATTGGAAATACTACTACATGGCCATTGGCTGAATATCCTTCTCTTGAGAACATTTCTAAGATAATTCCTGCGTTGGGTGTGGGTGGGTTTCCTTCTTGTAGATCCTTCAGAGGCTCAGTTTAAGGAGCCTGTTTATCAAGCAATAAACTTTCTTAAGAATGAATGTTTAATGACCAGCTCATAAAACCACAAAGTAATAGGACAATGGCAACATTTTTAAGTGAATCTAAAGATACCAGTTTGAGTTGAGGGAATTCTAAATGCTTCCAGTGAGGGATACTTTCTAATTCAACCTGAGTTTCACTGGGAAAGCACTTAATTGGCCTTCTAATACAATTGCTTCCAAACCAGTTCATTTACTTGCTACTGTATTTTATTCTGAAGCATCCATGCAGCACATTTTATTGGTGTAACGCTGATAAAAAGAAGGTTCAAATATATGTCAAAATATTGCTATGTGCCTTTGTTTCTGTTATGAACCATAAACATGGGCTTAAACATAAACCATAAACATAAAGCCACGTATTTAGAAGTGGAGAAAAACAAATATTTGCTTTAAGTCTAATGTGTTCTACACTATTCTAGAGAGTAGCACATTCAAAGGAGGGTGGGTGAAATACTAGGAACTCAGGTGTTAGTGTAATGAGCAGCTCACTGGCAGGGGATTGTGAGGAGACTGGCCTATGCCTAGCAGAGATTCTGTGGTAGGGAGCAAAATACATTATTGTTGCATAGGTGAGCTGGAAATAGTCTGTAGAAAGACTTGTATTCTGAGCAGTGCTTTCAGGCCTGGTGTTCCAGGCATCAGGGGCCATGCTGAATTCCTGAGTGGAAGCGTGGCAGGAGGAAAATAGTTCAACAATGTGAGAAACATGTTCCAGCTATGTTAGAAAGGAACTGGAAACCACAGTATAAGAAAGAGTAGAGGTTGTATTTAGAAAGGAGACTCCTCCTCTGAGATTGACAGAAAGAATTGCTGGAAAGTTATTAGTAATAACAATGAATACTTATACAGAGCTTACTGCATGCCAGACAGTGTTCTAAGCACTTTAGGTATTTTCATTCTTTTATCCTTACAATTATCCTGTGAAATAAGTACTGTTCTTGCTACTGTGAACAATGCTGCAATAAACATACATGTGCAGGCATCTTTTTGAGAGAGTGATTTGAGTTCTCCCAGGTATATTCCCAGTGGGGAGGATTGTGGGGTTGTATGGCGTATATTCGGAAGAACTCAAATCACTCTATAAAAAAGATACCTCCACACGTATGTTTATTGCAGCATTGTTCACAGTAGCAAGAACATGGAACCAACCGTGCTGTCCATCAGAAGAGGACTGAATTTTTAAAATGTGGTACATACACATGATAGAATATTATGCAGCCATAAAGAACAAATTCATGAACTTCACAGCAACCTGGATGGACTTAGAGTCTATAATACTGAGTGATCTTTCACAGAAACAAAGAACTGAATATCACATGTTCTCTCTCATAAATGGGCCTTGAACAATTATCATAATACTATAAGAAAAGGATTGACAGAAAACTTCTGGGACGGGAGCGGGGGAGCAGGGAAGCGGGATTGGCAGTAGTGGGAATCTGCCTGGGGAAGGGGGACACACCTCATCAACAAGGGTACCTGTATAATGAACATTTGTATACCTAACGCTGAATTGTACCTCACATCTTTAAAATAAAAAAAATTACAAGAGAAAAAAAAATAGACTAAGAACTCCCTAAAAAATAATAAAATAAAATAAAAAGGCATTTATTTCAGTTAAACAAAAGTACTATTATTATCATCATCCCCATCTTCCAGATGAGAAAACTGAAGCTACTAAAAGCCAATGGCTTGCGGTCACACAGGGAAGATACCCAACATTCAGTATGTGACCACCTGATAGCCATATTCTAATGGCCCATAACAGTGCACTTAAAATGATTATTTAATGATAGTATCTGATACCATGTAGCTGTTTAACTCCAGGTCACAGATTGAGCAGATTGTTCTCAGAAGTATAGACACAACAGGGATGACATCATATTCCATGATCCATGAACATGGTTGATAACCTGATCTCCAAAGTCAGTTACATGTGCTCTTTCCCCCCAAAACCTGAGGAATATAGGACAGACCTGTTCAAGTCTTAAAGTTATATTTATATATATAAAGTTAAGTAAAGTGAGATGTATGGATTGTATCTGTAGTCATTTTATTTGTAAACATTATGAATTCTTTTCCATACATATGGCCTACCATATGTGTCCTTTTTCCCCCCACTAGGGGCTCAAGATCTGGATCGCATCCGACTCTCCACCTACAGAACAGCATGCAAGCTGAGGTTTGTTCAGAAGAAATGCAATTGTAAGTACACCAATTGTTGAGTTGAATTACCATCATGAATCCTCTAGTTTATACTGGGTACCAAGTTTATTAAATTACGTTTTCTTACAAGGATTGATAACGATATGTTACACAACAATAAAAGGGGTGTAATGACACACAAATAAAGTCCTGAGGTCTAGATTATACTTAAATACTAAAGTATTGAAATGGATGAGTTTCCGGATATAAATGCAGTATAATCCTGACATTAGAATGCTTTTGATTCGAGTGGATGTTTTTCTTCTTTTCTCCAACCTTGGTATCATCAATGCTTCCCACACTAAAGTATACACACTGTGCTTCTCCCAACTGGGGAGCTCCAGCAAGCCCCAGGTCTCATCCCACACCTCCTGCTGTCTGAGAGAGATCTTTTCTCATTCTTGGGTCTCTTCTCCTTTTCCTCTTCCTGTTCTTTTCTAGCCCTCATCCTTATCCTGATCCAGAATTGTTTCTGAATTTCTTGAAAACACGGTGGGGTAAAAGTGGGGATGGTAGACCATCCCTGGGTGAAAATAGAACCTTCTTACCTGTCCAGTGCACACTCAGTGTGTCCATTTATTTGCCTCTTAATTTAGAAAGTGGATAACGAGCTTCTGCTATATGTTTGGCACTATGTCGGATACCAAGGATTCCATGATGTGAATAGGTCGCACAGGGAAGATGCCCAGTGTTATCTTTGGAAGATACCCATATGCAATCCCTGCCTTAAAGTCGTTCGAAATCCAATTGGGTAGATGAGTTTTTAAATAGATGTATAAAACTGTGTGGAAGTGCAATGATGGGAATATGAACATGGTATGTGAGAGCTTCGGGAGTTCGTGCCTAGGAAATGGGGACTGTTATGAGGACTTTTCTGGAAGAGGAGACATTTGGGTCGGGCCTTAAAGAATTAGTAGACAATTAGGCAAAGAAGTATTATTTGCTTTACAACGAATCTTATAAAGCTCATGCATTTTTGTATAAGAAAAGCTATTACATTCTGTATTAAATTGGACAAAGTAAAGACTCAAGGAAGAAAAACAAGCATATTTTGAATGTTCTGCTCAATTCAGCTTCTTGTAAAAACTGTTTCTACCTTTGTCAGAAACATCCAGCGCAAGTACAAGATGTGTTTGCTGAGTTTCCCTTCCTAACAGTAAATATAACCATTGTGATATTCAGAGGTCCTTGTAAAATGCAATTGATCTTGGCTTATCTGAATCAAAGTTGAAGCCTCCCTTTTAGGAAGTTAACTAGCCAGAGGCAGTGGTGTTTATGTGACATAACATTAGCCAAGATTGAATATGCATCCTTGTATTAAGGGAAGGTAATTTTGGTCTGTAATAAAACCTAACCCACAATAAATTATGGTACTTTATAATGGAGTTTTACTCTATAATAAAATAAATATGGAAAAAAATCTAGGTAGTATATCTGTAAGTACATTGCTTTACTAGAAAGTGTCTTAATACATTCAGGTTGCTATAACAAAAATACCATAAACCAAGTGGCTTATAAACAGCATTTATTTCTCATAGCTCTAGAAGCTGGAAAATCTGAGATCAAAGCATTGGCAGATTCAGTCTTGTGAGGACGACAAACTTTCTGGTTCATAAGTGGCCCCTTCTCACTGTTTTCCTCACACGGCAAAAGGGGCCAAGAAGCTCTCTGGGGCCTCTGATATAAGGGCACTAATCTCAATCATAAAAACCCTGCCCTCTTGCCCTAATCACCTTCCAAAGGCTCCACCTTCTAAAGCATCACACTGGGGGATCAGATTCCAACATACGAATTTTGGGGGAGCACATTCAAACTGTAGAAGAAACTCATTATGGTATTTACTTCATAGAGATCAGTGGATCCTAACTGAGAATAGGTTGTTTATTTTTAGGTCCCCAAAAAGAATTACATTCATCTCATTAGTAGGCTAGCATTTTTAGCATAATTTAACAATTATTATATATTTTGTCAGTAAAAAATATTGTGGAAATTCATTTTCTCTCTTGTCATATATATACCAAGATAAAATATCCGTGATTAGTTCTTTTGATCCACTAAAAACATTTACCAACCCCTGCTATAAAAGAAGAGTTGCAAGAAGCCTATCTCTTTTTCGAAGCACAAGATTTTCCATTCCTTCCACTTTGCTCCATGGAATCTGTTTTCCAAATCACTTCTTCCCTGAAGTGATTCATACCATCAGGCCTTCCCTCCCCAAGACATAACTAGCATGTTTTTAAAAATTAGGGAATACCAAGTTAGTTGTTTTATGTTTTATGGAGCAGAACAGAGAATACAAGAGTAGTCTAAATACTCCTTTCTAATCAACAGCCTTCTCTTTAGTTTCCAGACTTTTCATTAACTTTCCATGAAAATAAATACCCTATAAACTGTTTGTAAGCATAAGTGAAATGGCAACATCTTGGCCTTTATTTTAGGCAAATAACTGTTTTCTGCTAAAGCATTATGCCCTCAGTCAACATTGACATGGTTGATGACCCAGAGACCCTGCAATGTCAGCAGATCTTTTTTTTTTCCAGAAATTACTCTAGAGTCAATAGAATACAGCCTTAAGTTCATTAACAACAAAAGACAACAAGAGAAATAAATCAGAAATATCAAATTCCTCCTGTTTAATAGTAGGAACAGAACTGAGGGAAGGAGGATACTGTATCTCATACTCACAGCTAACATTGCACCATCTTTTAGTCTTGTTGTTTACAGTCTGAGTTTACTTTCTCTTAGTCTTATCAACTAAAAATTAATTAAAATTTTGTTTAAAACCAAAAAAGAAGAAGAAAAGGTTTATAATTACATCTGGGCTGTCAGAGTTTCTCAAAATATCCTTTGTCTAGTAAATGAAACATTTTTTTAAAAGTATCCTTCATTCAGATATAATTTAAGTTAGAGCACATGATTTTTTTTATGTCAATGTCTCTAAACCTTTTTCAGGATTTCTTGTGAATCAAAAAATGAAATTACTTGCTTACCTCAAATTTCTCTATCACTGCAAAATTAATGCAAGTGAATGCCATTTAACTAGCAGGTCCTGAATAAATATTCTATAAATGAATGAATAAACAGACTCCATTAGATTCATTTCTCACCAGCCAGGTAAGTAGAAGAACACAAGTCTTGTATGACTGGAATAGCTTTGAGCTATGTTTTTGGTAGCAAATACTAATACCCCACTCATTTTTCTTTAAGCAAGTATACCAGTATATTTCTCCTTCCTGCCTCATGTTTAAACATGTCTATTTTTGGCTGCCAGTATCAGTTTTCTATTGTTGGGTGACAAATTACTACAAATGTAGAAGCTTAGAACAGTACATATTTATTATCTCACAGTTTTTGTAGGTCAGAAATTCATGCATCATGGCTGGATTCTCAGCTCAGTAATTCACTGGACTGAAATCAAAGTGCCTGTTGGGTCTGTGGTTCTCATCTGGGGCTCTGGGTCCTCTTCCAAGTGCCCTGGTTATTGGAAGAATTCATTTTCTTGTGGTTGGAGGATTGAGGTTCTTGTTTTCTTGCTGGCTATCCGCTGGAAACTGCACTCAGTTCCTAGAGTCTCCTTTATTTCTTTGCACATGGCCTCCAAAGACTGTTCAGAACACTAGTGTTTGCTGCTTCTTCCAACCCAGCTAGTGTGTCTCTCTGACTCCTCTTGTGATCAGCCAGAGAAAACTCTTGGCTTTTAAGGGCTCATATGTTTATGTCAGGCTCAGCCAGATGATCTCCATATTTTAAGATTAGTTAATTTGGGATCATAATTTTATCTGCAAAATTCCTTCATGGCAGTACCTAGATTTGAGTTTGATTGAATAACTAGGGGAAGGTGTGTGTATACCATGGGCCAGGAATCTAGGGGGTAGGGAGGGAGATATTGCAGGATTCTGCCTATACACTGCCTAAGACCATAGACTTCTATTTTCCAGATAATGATATATAAAATCTTGGATGTAAAAATAAAGTTGAAAGCAAAAAATGTAGGCCATAGAAATAGAACCACAGCCAGGTGTGGTGCCTCATGCCTGTAATTCCAACATTTTGGGAAGCCGAGGCAGGAGGATCACTTGATCCCAGAAGTTTGAGACTAGCCTGGGCAACATAGGAAGACCTCATCTACAACAACCAAAAAAAAATTTTTTTTAATCAATAAATTAACTGAGCATATTGGTGAGTGCCTGTAGTCCCAGTGGACCTAAAAATAAACAACCTCTTCTCAGTTAAGACCCACTTATCTCTATGAAGAATTCATACCCTGCCATGCCTTCCCTCCCCATGACATAACTAACACATTCTCTAATAGAGTGAAAGAATGAATGTTTCTAAAAATCAGGGAACGCCAAGTTAGTTATCAAGAAGCTGAGGTGGAAGGATTGCCTGAGCCCAGAAGGTCGAAGCTGCAGTGAGCCATCATGCCACTGCACTCCAGCCTATATGACAGAATGAGACTCCAACTAAGAAAAACAAACAAACAAAAGAAATGTATTTAAAAGAGAACAATGAAAGGTCTTTCCATCATCAAGCTTTCAGAAGAAACAACAGGAGCATTTGGAAAATAAATTGCAGATGACTAATTCTTGAAGCACAATTATCTTTGTATTGTTGCAAATATTTTGGATACATGTTTTCATTCCTGACGTTGAATCATGGTAGACATTTATTTAGAATAAACAAAAGTGCATTGTGCTAGAATTCATTATTCCTCAATATTCCTTGTGGAAAAGTCCGTGGTGACAGAGGAACATAAACAAACCCATTAAAGATGCCTGTGTAATATGACAAGGGAAAAACTGTTCCTCTATGGGCATCCCGACCTATAACAAAATCATGTTGCATTAATCTGAGCAAACTTCTGGTAGAGAAAGTATACTATTTTAAAGTTCTGATCAGTATGAGTGTAATTAAAGATGCTTCTTCCCTTTAACTGTTTTTATTTTTAAGAACTTAAAGATATAGCGTTTTGTTTTCTTGTTAGCATTTTCTAATTAGCA